GATGAAAAGTTTGATAAACAATAGCACGAACTCTCGTTCTTTTACCTTCTTTCATGCGAAAGTTGACCAACTTCTTGATCAATTGTTTTTGCTCACCATCCAAGCCCCCCATATTGCTGAGAATATCCGAGCAATTGGAAGCCACTTTCGATGACGAGGCCGAGAAATTGATATTACGCAATCGTCACTATCCATCTTTATCAGCCAACTCCCCTCTTTCCATCTTTCTTTTTAGAGTTTACCACTCAGAATTGAATAGCTTTTTTCATTTTTTTAGGGTCTCGCTCCCCGAGTTCAAGAGTATATACTCTCCTGTCATATGGCTCCATCCCGACATCAGGACCTCCCCTTTCCTTTGACCAATGGGTCCTCGAACCAAGCGGTCTGGCCTCCACCTACATTCACCCTCTGTCGGTTGGAAATAGTTGTTGGAACTGGTTATCCAATTCCATCTAGAACCCGGAGTTCTCATTTTCAATGGAGGCCTGTTTATGAGCAAGGAATTTCAGATCCCCACCCGTTCCACCAAAAAAAAGTATATCTATTGCGCGGTTCCCATCCTCTGGCTCGTGCACCGGAATCTTTCTAGTCCTCGCGAGTTGGTCTCTCTTTTTTCATTTTGACCTTGTGGTCGAACTCCCCCAGGCTCCGCTTTGTGGTGTGAAACTGTCTCTTTCTTTCTTCTTTTTCGAGTGAATCCCAGAGAAGGTCCTGTGGGTATGATTGAACAACCTCTGAAGGAGAAGGGGATGCCTGCGTTTGTTGTTGATATGGGTCAAGAGGTAGAGGTACCGGTCACCCAAATTCTCGAGTTTGAATAGGGTCGAGGTTCATCATATTGAAAAGTGGCATGGCTTCGGTTTCGATGAAAATAGAAAGAATAGAACCTATTATCCACCCATGCCAGATCCCCTAAACAACCTACATACAAAGATGAGAGTTGTTGAAGAGCCTTTTTAACGACTTATACCCCAAAGTATGACACGCATTAGATGTAATGGAACGGACGGGATGAAGCCCAGAAGAAAACTATAATAAAAAAGAATGGAATGAGGGCATAGGTTGCCTTCGGAGCTTCTCTTTACGAAAATGTTCTTTGACCCCGGGGGGGCTCTATTGTGGAGGGTCTGCCGTTCTTAACCGGGAAAAGAGTGGGACTTGAAAAGAGGATGGGAGAGAGGGGAACTCAAACAAGAAATAGAAGAGAGGAGAGAGCCTGAAAAAAGTCTTTTTCTTCATGAGACTTTTTCTTCACTGTAATTCCGCCTCCATTTTTTACAGCAGCATTCCTTTCAAAACACAAAAGTCAGAGTTAGTGCTCATTGACCCCCTTTTTGTTATTCGAAGTCAATGAATTCCTTTCTTATCTTATCGCAATTTCAGTTGGAAATGCTTTTAGCACGTATTCAGACTTCCAAAGTTTAGGAGGTTTTTGGTTTCACCTTTCCCCTTGGCTTTATCTTCTTATGTAGTTTCAAATACAACTTGTACTTTTTCATGTACGAATTTCGTAGAAAAGCTAGTACCTCATTAGCATTGCAACAACATGAAAAGAAAGCGAGATACTGGAATACGAGGGGAAGGAGTGAAGCAGACTGATAGTTTACAAGGTTCAGGAGAGAAGCCTATTTACCGAGTTCAAGAAGGGAAGGTAATATCGTCAAAGGGTCAAGATCAAGAAGAAATAGGAAAAGGTTGATTCTTCTTTTCTTACAGGTAGTCGAGTAAATGAACGAATGAAATCCGGTTCACTCTCAGTCTCTCTCTTTCCTTTAACATTACCTCAGTCGAAAATAGCCCAAAAAATAGACATAGGATAGCTCAAATTAATGGTCCGTCAGAGTGAAAGAAGGAGAATGCATCTTTCTTTCGGCTCCCTATTTAATCAAACACTGTCAAGTCTGTCTCATTCATCTTGTCTTCGTCTTCTTCCTTTGACTATTTATTCAAACACTGTCAAGTCTAATTCTTCTTGAGTTTCTTCTTTCCGAACTAATTACCTCTAAAATGACCCGAAAAATAGGGTAAAACATCGATTTAATAATCAATAGTCCTTACACGAAAAAATAGGGATTTTATCCCAAAAAATAGGGTAAAGCATCACTTTTCTAAGAAATGGTCTTTACAGGATCAATCTAATTCATCTTGTCTTGTTGTCTTGCTTGAGTCTCCCTTCTTTCCCTTCAAACACAGTTAAAGGATAGGAAAAGGTTGAAGGTTTCGGCTTTCTCTTTTTCTTTTCTTTCCTCTCTGAAGGGAAGGTAATATCGGTTCCCCGGAGAATGAATCTTGTCTTGCTTTCTTGTTTACAGTTCAATCTAGTGAAGGAGAAAGAATCTTTCATTTGACTCTCCTGCTCCGGATCATACATAATAGCTTTAGAGTGAAAGAAGGTCATATCGGTTCAGGTTCAGTAGCTAATTCATTTATTCAAAGACTGTAAACTCTCATTCCATTCATCTTTCGGCTTTCCTCTCCCTTCAAACACTGTTTAGGATCATTCATCTTGCTTTCGTCACCCTGATTTCATGAATTGAAAGAAGAAATAGGTTCAGGATAATTCATGTTTCATTTTCTTCTTCTTCAGCCCTTCCTGTTCAGTCTCATTCTTCTTTTGTTTCATCTTGTCTTTCTTTCATGTCTTTCCTTTTCTTCTTTAACTGTAAACTCTCACTCTCTCATTAAGCTTTCGTTCTGGTCAGGTAATAAAGTCAAAGGTTCCATAGTCCTCGACCCGCAACAGATGTAGGAGTATTTATTCAATCACATAGTTTGGGCTCCTAGAATATGGAGTCCTTGGGGATCTTCCTCCCGATGAATTCCCGGAGGCGGCTGGGCTTAAGCCAAGACTCTTTTTGTTCTGTTTTCTTCTCTTAGTCTGGTGAATGAATTTCTTCTTGGTACTCGTTGAAGAATCTAGTGCTTTACATCCGCTCCAAAAGCTCTATCAATGAATTCAAAAGAAAAAGGTGTCGATAGACAATAAACCAAGGAGCGAAAGCCACTCAGTTGATTGCTAAATCTCTAGTTCATGAGAAGGATTTGCTGTGGTCAATCAATGCTTAAAAGAATTCCAAAATCTTTCGGTTCTTACTGCATATCCAAGAGTCCAATCTACTATGGAGATCTTTCTGTCTGTTGCTGTAAAGTGAAATATTGAAAATCTAAGGCTTCAATGAAGGTAAAATACCAATGAAGTGCCTGGGATTGCCAGTCTCTCAGTTAGTGATTGTTTGCCTCTACTCTAATTGAGAGAATCAAAGCTAGAGTATAGAGATGGACTGTAAAAGCCCTATAATATGTTGTACAACAGGTTCAGGGTGCCCTCCTTAGCATGAAAGTGTTTACTTTAGTACTGTGTTCATACTGCCAGTGCAAGTTTTGATTTGAAGACAATTGAGAAGAAGACAAAAGGTTCTTATGGTCAAGTCCTGATATGGTTCAAAGGGAATGTAGCTTGGCCCTTTACCTATTCATTTGAAATGAAAAGAAGGTGCTTCATTGGTGCAGCTATTTAGGATATACATAGAATGCTTCTAAAAATTAGGAGCATTTTGTTGGTGTATTAAACCCACCAAATAATGGTAGCTGGGTTTGTACGAAAGTTTGACAGGTGTTGAGAGAGTTGGCTATAAGAGATATTATACATGATGTTGGCAATGGAACCAATACATCTCTCTGGTATGACTCTTGGCTGTCTATCAGTTCTATAGTGGAAAGGTATGTATGGTGAGCCGATCATAGGGGAGTCTGGTCTTCCCAAAAATGTCAGAGTGAAAAAGTAGCAGACAGAGTTTCTAATTCATAATTCCAGATGGTCCCCCCCTGCAGCTGCAAATCAAGATCAGCAAGAAATGGGGGAGTGTATCAGAGCCATAAGGCCCTTGAGTAGTGAGCAAGAAGACAGAGTTATATGGATGCGGGATCACCCTATTTTCTCTAAAAGGCGCCTTGAGGTTAATCAGACATAAACAAGCTACTATGCCTTGGTGTAAACCGGAGAGATTTTAAAGAAGGAACTCATTCGTGGACTGATTCCCACCCTTTACCAGAATCAAAATGAGGAGTGGTATGGTTTCAGAAAAGGTAGACATTATACAGATATCCTGTAACGAATTGCTCGATTCACTACGATTACCTATTCCCAATCACACAGGAATGCTCGCTTGTCCGCCTACCAATGATGCCTTTTCACTTGAAGACAATTGCTCTGCCGCATCAAGAATTCTTCTGACACACGATTATCTTCTACATAGGCGTAGATCTAATATTTAACAAATCTATCATTTCATAGATATTATGAAAACTTCTATGTATCTCTGAGATAGGGATTTATTTGGTACCAAAAAAGATATCCTAAGAATAATGGAGGAAGGAATTGTGGAATGAGATTGACTACAAGATGTTGATGCATCACCTGTGAAGGGCTTAGCTGAGCAACTTGTATGAACAACTCGTGCCGGTCTCAAATCCAGCAGCAATTCATTCAGAGGGGAGATGCTATCAGTTCCAGGAAGGAAGGGTATGAGGAGAGAAGACTTTACTCCTCATCATAGGCTTGCTATGATGGACTCTTATTTTGAACCATAATGAACTAAGAGTCAAATTATTAGGAATAATAGATCTTGAATTTGCAGGCTCCTGTTGGCGTGGGGAAGTCTGTTGATTAAGCTCATTTTGAGAATAATCTTTTTTTCTATTTGATTTGGCTTGAAAGTCAAAGTCAGTGTAAGATAAACATAATAGAACTATGTTTTTTTATTGTCTTGTATTTTCCATTGATTAAAAGGAACACGCACTAAGTGACTGACGGAATAATAAGACTGAACTAATTGACTAGCTCTTTTAATACTTCACCGATTCCACTAAGTCTGGGAAGTCGTGACTTGAGGTCTTCCAGAAGAACTCGAAGATGGAAATTCCAAGGGATAATGATTTTGAGGGGGGGTGGGTCCACTAGTCGCTATTACAGTGCGATCCTTAAGGAAATTTCAGCATTAAATGGCTTCGTTCGTTAGCTTTTCGTTATTCAATTCATTATAGAATCTGGTCTGGCTGCGCTGGTATAGCAATCCCTTCTAGCCGCCGCCGTCAGTGTAGTTCATTCATTAATTTGATTTTTGGTCAAAGGTCGAGCCCGCCATTTCCAATTGCTATACCTGAGTAGGGACGAGTGCCTACATAACCTACTCAAGATAAAAAATGAGAACTTCTAAGGTTGGTTATAGTAATGATGGAAATAGTATTGGTATCAGATCCGAATGTAGTTCTACCGAATTTCGTTTAGAGGTCCGTTTGCTCAGTTCCTCAAAAAAAGAGTAGATTTGAGGCAGGTTCTCTCTTCCAGCTCTACGGATACCTTAAATAGTGTTGCAAACATGATAGTCAAGGTATAGTGAGCAAGAAGAAAGAAATGTGGTTGCCCCGCTTTTAGCAAAATCAAGAATCTAACTATACGCTTCACTTTCTATGAGTTAATATAGTGGAATACGAGGGTAGCATATACTCAGAAAAAAATACTACCTGATAACACCTATGACTTTAACATGAATAAATATGACTAAACATCAATCTAAAAGTCTTATTTATCTGGTGACTAAAATGTTCTATTTTTTCCCTTAAGGAATCAATCATAGGAAGTGTCATAAGCATTGAAAGCTGTTAGAAAGTCGTTTTTGAGAAAATCCCTGCAATACAATTCTAACCAAGTTTTATTGGAAACGATTTTCGAAGTGGATTCTCTCACCGGACGGGCAGACCTCTCAAGATCCGGTAAAGAAAGTTGGCTTGAGACTGGATTAAATCCTTTATATATCCTATTCTTTCTCATTTCTCATTAGGATGTCAATCAAATTCCTTCTATCTTACAGAATCCGCTGCACTATTAACTATTAGGTTAACTTGAATCTGGATAAATTGACTTCTTTCTCAAATTGAAATAAAGGAAGAGGTGATTTGGAGAAGAATGAATTCCTCCCCGAGCAGTGACATATCCTAGAAAGAGGGCTTTTACCGGTCGTTAAGATAGACGTTATGATAGAGTCGGTGTCGATAGCGGTTCTTGCAGGATCAACAACGAGAAGTTTTCCTCCGCTGTACTTCAAGGAGATGTGATCTTTCTGACTCATATCTTGCTGGTTTAGTAAGCCTTTATGATTATTCAAAGTAATGGATAGAAAGAAAGCACCCTCCTTTTTCTTGTTCTTTGTGTCAAGATAGGAATGGGAGCTGTTTGAATGGATGCCTCCTTGTTGAATCAGCCAAGTCAGTAGCCTTTCGGCGGGATTGCCTTGTTGATGCAAGGAATAAAGGGCAGCTTTCTTTGATGCCAAGAAGAAGTGGAGGAATAACTGCAGCGAAATCATCTGCAACACATTTCTTCAGGGGCCCGCTCTCAAAGGTAAAGATTATTTGTCAAGGGCAAAGGAATCTCCTCCTTCTTCAGGCGAGATCTAATAGAGGAATCCTTCTATCGCCCGACTAGAATAAAGTGCTTGTGTCATATTATTATGATTTATATAACATAGAAAGCAAAATCAAGCAATTTGATACATTTTTTTCTCTGTATTCTGTATTAGGTATCTAATCTAATATGAGTCACCTTTTATTGGTTCTTCTTCTATTATTCTTATTATTCTATTACGTTTTAGTTTATATAATTTATACTTGATAGTTGGAATTGTCTTTTCGTCTCTATCTTCTTTTTCTTTCGGTTCATCCTATTTAAGTTTGTTAATTAGACCCATATAAGTCTGTTATTTCTTTATTTAGGTTGAGTATTAACCAAAAGATGATTCTGATCATAGACTGGATCTCTTTTTCTATCCATTTTGATTCCAAGATTCATATTTATATCTTTTTTCAAACTAATTTGCTTTTTTTCTATCAACAAAGAAATTACGCGTATATGTAATTACTTCACTCCGGTTGGGTTCATTGTATTTTGATTGATACCACTCATGGCTTACTAAGTCTTTAGCTGGACCTTTGTGTTTAAGTAGAAAAGTATATCATCATTTTGACTCACTAATTGATAGGATTTAGGTGCTAAGAAGTAACCAGTCTCTACTTTATACTCATTCATTTTCCCAATTCAGTCGATGAAAGCTCTTCTTCAGGTATTGGACTTACTGAAACAACTGAGTCAGTATAGTAATAGTATTCAATAATAGTTTTCTCTGAAAATGTACTTGTAGATATGAATAAGCTGTAATAGCAGCCGACATTTGAACAGCTAATTCTAGGTCGTTTCCAGTCAATGTCGTTAACATCAGCAGTCTTTATCTTATAAGTCAAAAGTAATGATCGCCCAGATTCTTAATATCGAAGAAAGATTGACTCTTTATCAATTCTTCAAATCTCTCTCTAGTGCGTATATCTTATCTCAGTTACTCTACTTTCTGGATTAATACCTAATCTCCCATATAGTATAGTGCGTTCATAAGAAGAAGAATTCTATATAAGACATAGCTTCGTCACCTTTCTTCTTAGATTGATTAGATTTTTGTCTACTTGAAGTGATGAGATATATTTTGAGAAAAGGACTAGAACACTTTTCAAATCAGAATCTCCGGTATAACCTTGTAACCCAAGTTTTTTGCATATGGAACCTCTTTGCTATAATAGATCCCCACAAATTCGCCTATTGGGAATAGTCAACTTCCACCCCCTTTATTCTTTTATTCTTTTTCTCTAGAGGGAGATAAGAAAGATATGACTGACAGAGCCAAAGCTTCATGCTCACTTATTAACTATATTCCAAAGCATGACAAACCTAAATGCCATTAACTGAATGTGTACTTCATGCCAAGCAAGCTTGAATATAGTTCACGCTTTCCCAGTTTCTGATTTCCGAGCATTGCGCTTAGTCAGTGTCCAGCTTGCAGATGATTCAGCTACTTTTCCTTCCTACTAAAAGAAAAAAAGAACTCCTTCCATACCCGCCTCTCCTACTCCTACCTTCGTACTACAAACCAGCCTTTTACTCGAACTCCCGTTACCGTTGTCCATATTGGCTTGTCTTTGCTTTCTAGGATTGTGCCATCATATTAGCCTCCACATGTTTGCCTTCCTTTCACTCCGGCGTATAGCCTGTCTTGTAATTCTTAATTGGCTGATTAAGATCACTCCACCATTGGTTGTTCTTAATCTAAATCCCCTAGGTAGGAATGCTCTTGGTCTTGAGAAAACCATATCAGGATCAATTGCTACTATCACTCCCTATGCTTCCGCGTCCCGTACCCCAACCACTTAACCTTAACTAATAGATGCTAGTTGTTGGTGGAAACTACTGCTTGGATTATCTAAGAATAGAATGATGGTTGGAGACAGAGAGGTGACGGGGCTTATCATACCAGGTAAAATGGAGAGTTGAGTCTTCTCCTCACCCGTGAGCCTGATGAGTCGACCAATTCCTCCACCCCCTTTCCTTCTCTTTACTCTCTTTTTTTTTTTTTTTTTTTTTTTTTTTTTTTTTTTTTTTTTTTTTTTTTT